CGGGGAACGGGGAACGGGGAGCGGGGAACGGGGAACGGGATCGGGGAGCGGGGAACGGGGAGCGGGGAACGGGGAGCGGGATCGGGGAGCGGGGAACGGGGATCAGGGAACGGGGAGCGGGGGGGGGGTGTGAAAAATGAGGATTGGAGTATAAAAAATGGGGATTGGGGGTTAAAAATGGGGATTGGGGTGTTAAAAATGGGATTGGGGTGTTAAAAATGAGATTGGGTGTTAAAAATGGGATTGGGGTGTGAAAAATGGGGATTGGGGTGTGAAAAATGGGACTGGAGTGTGAAAAATGGGATTGGGGTGTGGAAAATGGGGATTGGGGTGTAAAAAATGGGGATTGGGGTGTTAAAAATCGGGATTTGAGTATAAAAAAAATGGGGATTTGAGTATAAAAATGGGGATTTGGGCCCAAAAGTGGGGATTGCAGCACAAAATGGGGATGGGAGCATAAAAATTGAGGCCTTGAGCTAAAAAATGGGGATTGGAGCCCCAAATCCGGGGATCTGACCCCAAAAATGGGGACTTGATCCCAAATAAATGGGGATTTGACACCAAAACCGGGATCTGACCCCGAAAATCGGGATGTGGCCCCAAAATTTGGGGATGTGAGCCCAAAAATGGGGATGTCACCCCAAAAATGGGGATGTCACCCCAAAAATGGGATCTGGCCTCAAAAATGGGGGTGGCCTCAGGGGGTGGGAATAGCAAAACGGAAATTGGGGCCCAAAAATTGGGGTTTTGAGCCCAAAATTGGGATCTGACCCCAAAAATGGGGATCTCACCCCAAAAACGGAGATTGGAGCCCAAAATCCGGGAACCCCTGAGGGATCGGGAGCCCCCAAAACTTGAGTGACCCCTGACCTCTGACCCCTCCCCAGGCCGCCCTCGGGGGCCTCCTGGGCGTCGCCAGCGCCCGCCTGGGCTCCATGAAGACGCGGTGAGTGACAGCTCCGCCGGCCAATCACAGCACAGGCCCCGCCCCTCCCACCCTCTCATTGGCTGCCACCGCGGGGTGGGCGGGTCCGAGGGCAAACCAATGGGAATGCGGCGTGGGGGAGGGGGGGGGGGGGGGGCGCGGCCGGCTCGGCAGCCAATGAGAATTGTTCTCTGGGGCTGCCGGGCTGCCATTGGACGGGAAGGAGCCAGTCAGGGGAGGTTTGAGCCCTGGTTGGGGGGGGGCACGGCAGCCAATCAGGGGCAGGTGGGCGTGGCCTCTTTGCTGGCTTGGATTGGCTGGTGTATTGTGGCTTTGAGCAGCCAATCAGGTTGTTCCTGTAGTGCATGGCAAATTGGGGTGGGTGGAGCTTGACTGTGATTGGCTGCTGGGCCAGGGTGGGCGTGGCATCATCCCAGCCAATCAGATTCCACATGAGAGCCACGCCCTGCTCTGCAATGCCCTAATAAGGAAAGTGGGCGGGGCTTGGAGCCCTCAGCAGCCAATCAGGGGTGTCGGTGGGGCCAGGGTGGGCGTGGCTTCATCCCAACCAATCAGATTCTGCATGTGAGCCACGCCCTCTTCTAGGCTGTCCTTATAAGGAAAGTGGGTGGGGCTTAGAGCCCCCAGCAGCCAATCAGGGCTGTGGGTGTGTCGGGGGCGTGTCCAAACCGACCAATGGCGCTGCAGGTTCGAGGGGCTGTGCCTGCAGCAGCCAATCAGGGTTGAGGGTGTGTCAGGGGCGTGTCCAAACCGACCAATGGCGTTGCAGGTTCGAGGGGCTGTGCCTCCTCTCCCTATTGGTCAGCGAGAGCCCCGGCGACGCCTTCCAGCAGCACTGCCTGGGCTGGCTCCGCCTCCTGCAGCACCTGCTCCAGGTGGGACCGCCAAAACACACCTGGGCACAGCTGGGCACAGCTGGGATACACCTGGGCACCGCCAAAACACACCTGGGCACAGCTGGGCACCGCCAAAACACACCTGGGCACACCTGGGCACAGCTGGGATACACCTGAGATACACCTGAGCACAGCTGGGCACACTCAAAACACACCTGGGGCACAGCTGGGCACACCTGAGATACACCTGAGCACAGCCAAAATACACCTGGGCACACCTGGGCACACCTGAGATACACCTGGGCACAGCCAAAACACACCTGGGCACAGCTGGGATACACCTGGGCACCGCCAAAACACACCTGGGCACACCTGGGCACACCTGAGATACACCTGGGCACAGCTGGGCACACTCAAAACACACCTGGGCACAGCTGGGCACACCTGAGATACACCTGGGCACCGCCAAAACACACCTGGGCACACCTGGGCACACCTGAGATACACCTGGGCACAGCCAAAACACACCTGGGCACAGCTGGGCACACCTGAGATACACCTGAGATACACCTGGGCACAGCCAAAACACACCTGGGCACAGCTGGGCACAGCCAAAACACACCTGGGCACAGCTGGGCACACCTGAGATACACCTGGGCACAGCCAAAATACACCTGGGCACAGCTGGGCACACTCAAAACACACCTGGGCACAGCTGGGCACACCTGAGATACACCTGGGCACAGCCAAAATACACCTGGGCACAGCTGGGCACACTCCAAACACACCTGGGGCACAGCTGGGCACACCTGGGCACACTCAAAACACACCTGGGGCACATCTGGGCACAGCTGGGATGGGTGGGACACACCTGGGGACAGCTGGGCACACTCAAAACACACCTGGGCACTGCTGGGCACACCTGGGATACACCTGGGCACACTCACAACACACCTGGGGGCACCTGGGGCACACCTGGGCACACCTGGGGGGGTTCCCACACCCCATTTTTAACTGATTTTTGCCATTTTTTGGCTTTTTTAAATTGTTTTTTTTGGGTTATTTCAATGGGGACAATTCGAGGGGGGTCTCTAATTTGGGGAGGGGTCCTGACGGGTTTTGGGGTCCCCCCATTCCCAAGACCCCACCCCAAATTGGTTCTGGGGGTGTTTAGGGGGTCCCACACTCCACTTTTAACCAATTTTTGCCATTTTTTGCCTTTTTTTAAAATTTTTTTTGTTTATTTCAATTGGGACGATTCCGGGGGGGTCTCTAATTTGGGGAGGGGTCCTGACGTGTTTTGGGGTCCCCCCATTCCCAAGACCCCGTCCTCAAATTGATCCTGGGGGGGTCCCACACCCCATTTTTGACCAATTTTTGCGGGTTTTTTTGCGTTTTTTTTTCGTTTTTTTGGGTTATTTCAATGGGGACGATTTTGGGGGGGGGTCTCTAATTTGGGGAGGGGTCCTGACGGGTTTCGGGGTCCCCCCAGTCGCAGGACCCCCCCCCCACGGTGGCCCTGGGGGTCTCGGTGCTGCGGGAGCTGCTTCGCTTCTCGGCGCAGCTGCCGGAGCTGGCGCGGGACATCGGCACCAACCACATCCCCGGCATCCTCACCTCCCTGCTGGCCCTGCGGCCCGAGGTCCCAAATGGGGCTGGGGGCTTCAAATGGGGCTGGGGGCTTCAGGGGGGTCGGCTTGGGGGGGCTGGAGGGGAGAATTTGGGGTAAAAATGGGAAGAAATTGGGTTAAAGTGGGGATTTAAAGGGTTAAGATGGGACTAAAA